GATTTTAATATGTATTAGGGTAAAGATGGTGACATTGAAATTTATATCATATTAATTCCATAATATGCTTCTTTTTATATAGAGCTTATTGTTTATGCACAACCCTATAGTGAAATTTACAATGTAAAGGTTAAAGATTATATTGAATCCTATTTTAGTAAGCACTTTGCAATTTACACCTCTAAGATCAAGACAACAAGTTTCTTGGACCCTTTTATTGTGGAAGTTCCCCGTCAAGGGTCATTGTTGTCATAGCAGTTAAGGAACTTAGTAGTTGCTTCAGACTGTGGTGTTTTCAAAAACTCCAAATGTTTTCCGTTTTTGGTGGCTAAATGTTTCCCTTGTTTTTAATGCTATTTACTATTTTTTTGTCGGCATTAAAATTAACCTTAAATGCAATAAATTTGTGGTAAAAGGTAAAAACTAAAAGGTACTAGTTACATTAATTAAGGGTTAATAAAATAACCTTTTTCATAAAATTTTTATAGGCCCATTTACATAGTAAAGAAGATCAACCCCATGTCATATTATATACATGTATTACCCTAAATTACAGTTACAGTTATGTATGAAATTAGATCATTGACTGTTAAAACCGATTTTGAAGTTTTATAAGTATGACTTACTATCAGTTCTAAGTAAGTATACAAGTTTACAATGTACTTCAGTTATGTTTTGATGGAGATATTCTTAGTAAAGCTCACTAGAGCTTGCTATGTTTTTCTGCATTATATATACAGGTCTGTACATGTACATATACCTATTTCTTTTGTAGATGATAATTATAAATCACTCTCAAAACATTTGGCCTCATTTTGTCTTCATTGCATCCTTTCAACTGTAGGACATTTGTATCCCTTTTTTTGCACAGGCCATGGCATCATTAATCCTGACAAACTTTTTCCACCACCTTAACTTGCAACATTGAAATCGTGTATAAAATAGCATTGGATAGACTAAGGGCTGTTGGCCATGGATTCCTCTGCCTAATATGAGCATGATCCCCCTTTCCCCACCCCCTGGCTACTTTCATTGGAAACAAGTGAAAAGAAGAAAGGACTTCAAAGATCTTCAGTTCCCCAAAATCATAGTGGTATATTTAGCCCTGATTTTCACATAATTAATGTTCCAAATGCTTTCATTACCAGACTTAAGAACTTCAGGTTGTGCAATATTAATTAATATTCTATATTTTTCATATTATAATTTTGCTTTAGCTCACAAGTCTTTTAGACACCATGATGAAAGAAGTCAGTGATGTTAAAGAAACTGCGGAGGAAATAAACGGATTAAAGAACAAAGTGTCTGAGGTTAGTTCAATAAATTATTTTATTATTAACTGTATTAGTTCGCCCACTTCACTTTCATGCACTTTAATATTGTGTATCATGAAACTTAAGGTTTTCTCTCTTTTGTTTTTCTTTGTGTATGTAGTTGGAAAAACTAACTTCAAACCTCAGTGAGAGAATTACTGCACTGGAAAGTGTTGGTAAGACTATGACAGCTGTAACTGTTGTGTCATTTTTATGATATTTCTATTATTATACTGCTACGTGAGAAATTTCTGTATTTTGATTGGCTTAGGGCAGTGGTGTTTCAGCTTAATTTGAAATACCTACATGTGAAAATTACAAAACTATTGCAGGTAGTAGTATAAACAAATAATAGCATGATTTGTATGTGATATTTGGCATAAGAAGCTTGAACACAAACTGAACTTGGATACGGAATAAAGCAAAGAGAGAAACTGACATTTTAAGTGATATTTCAAAATTGTCTCAAATTTCACTCACCTAACGGCTCGTGAAACGTATAACAATTTCGAAATATCACTCGTGGTATTTATGCGAAATATCACCACAAATGATGCTATTATATACCTATCATAATTGTATATATTGTTTTTTATAAACTTGAATTGATTCCTAAAAAAAAGAATGGTCATAGCTGTCAAATTCATTCCTAAGAAAAGGAATGGTCTTAGCTGTCATAGCTGATGTCTTAGCTGATGAAATAACTGAGTTGTTTGTTTTCATAAATTTGTAGACAACTCTCAAGAGAAAAAGAAACTTGAAGATTTACTTAAGGAATTGGTGAGAATGACAGCGCAGTCAGAGAAAATTAGCTATTAATTTGCAATAGTGCAGTAAATGCAGGTGGTGGACAAAATGCTGACTCCCAGTCCATGGACTACCCCCATGGACTACACGTACGGACTACCTTTTGAGTAATTTTACCAGTAGTTACTTCATGTACCTAGCATTGTAGTGAATTCAAAAGGTAGTCACTATGGGTAGTCCATGAACTGGGGGCCAGTATTTTGTCCACTGCCATCAATGTGGATGAGTACAAAGATTCTGGGAAACTGTCTCCTCACCTACCCCTCCCCTAATACAGCATTAACACTTACTTCTCACTTAGGGGGGAGGGGGGTAGGTGGGTAAGTGGCTACCATCTTTTGACACCTCTGTGAGAAAGACACCTCCCTGAACCAAGATACCCTGAGAGTTGGTCCCTACAATTAATTGGACATTTGCTATCATTTGCTATAATGCAGGCACCTGCCTGCCACAGATGTTTCATGCCAGCCCCTGTAGTGTCCATCAGAGAGAGCGTTGACTACATTTTTTTTCCTGCTCAGTATTAATAGTGAAGGGTCAGAAGATCAAATGAAGATGATGTGAACTGCAGAAATGCAATACATGATTGTTGCTGTTTTAATAGCAATTTTTAAGCAATTGCAGATTAACCCAGATTAATAAACAATAAAGTAACACATGCTCCTTCACCAAGTCAGTGGAGTGCTGAGCGCAAATGCAACTTGTTAGTTTTTGTGGTAGTGGACATACAAACTCTAAATTTGCTTGGAACAGTTCATCATGTGCCCTTTGTTTTATTCTAGCAAAATCTCAAGAAACAAGTAGATGACCTTCCCACAAAAGATGACCTCAATAATTTGGACATATATGTCAAATGGCCACAACTTGAGGAAGCTTTAAATGCTAGGAGAAGTCGTGCCCCTTCGGCAAAGTCAAGGGCATCTACCCCTAAAGCAAGAACTCCTACCCCACCCCCACCCAGGACACCAAGTCCTCCTCACCCCTCCGCTGAAGCACTTGAGGCATTGAGACAAATTGGTGAACTTATGGACAGACATGAAGTGTTAATTGAACAAGTGGATGCATTAGAGGTTTGTAAATACCTACTACTGTACCTTGTAGTAGTGCTGGTTGTCTGTCGACTAACTTTTGTTTATCTTTTGACTGTTGGTCACAGTCTTCTGACAGATGCAAGATTTATTTTTCGGGGAGTTGTTCTTCAATTTTTCCCAAATTTGTATTCTTTGTAATTTCCTAGAGTAGCTTATTGCGGTAGAAGTCATTGCAGGATAATTTATTCACGTATGTATAAAAATGTATTTTCCTGACAATCTTTTTACAGTGTGACCAAATGAACTGAGGCCACCCAGACAAAATTTTGAGACAGATTTCTTTAAGTACTGCTGGCTTTGATTCTGGCCTGAACCCAGATGTTGTCAAAACATTTTCCAGCTTGATTTACACAAACTTCATGATTCCTTATTTATATCCTTTAGGAAACTGGTATGCAACGTATTTTGAACTGGCTCTGAGTACAAAATTATACGTATTTTCATGTTTAGATCTTGACTTGTGGATTGCTTATTTCAAAATTTGTCTCATTTTATGTCTGGGTGGCCTTGGTCCATGTGGTCGCACCGTAAGCCTTGATTACAGCAAATTACAAAATAATGTATTTCCATTTTGTAAATAGGTTGTTGGGTTTACATGTACTCATTAAGTAAATAAGATTTCCAACCTACAAGAGATTTTCTACAAATTGAAAGACCTGCATCCATTAATTTCCATTCAACAGACACTGTTAATTCCTCACTGATATTTTATTTATAATTATTTTTATTGACAGGAACAAATGCCCAAAAAAGCTAACCTTGAAGATTTGGAGGAACTGAGGAAAAGACCAGGTGTTTTGATGAGAACTGCCTTTATTTTTCACTATGTCCATTTTTAATAGTCATCAAATTAAAAATAGAAGCATCTACAGGGTAACTGTTTTGTGCATGTATCTTATAAAATCATTTTTGTTTTTCTATTTTACTAGATGTACCAGATGACATTCTTGAGCGGCTTAAGTGGTTAAAGGAAGGGCTTGATGCAATTAATAAGTGGAAAGAGGAGGTAATGAAAATGACAATGAAACCCTTTGTTACATGTACAGTGTACAGAAATTCTGTCTACATATGCCGCTGAACAAACACAATAATTTCATTTTATCACATGAATTGATGAAGTCAATTTACTGTTTGAAAAAGATTCACACTGAAAGTCGGGTTTGGTGAAACCTTTTTCCTTAATTAAAAATGAACGTGGTTTCAAGTTTAATATAATGAATTATTTTATATTTTCTTCAGTAACCTGTAAATATTATGTACATGTACATAACTGGTTATTCTGTCTCATAACTCTAAACTGAAACCAGTGATTAGAAATAAAGAATAAACCAGATAAACAGAAATAACAAACATTTACAGGGGGAACATTTAAGGAGGAAGATTTAAAGTGTTTGGATACAAAAGACAAAAAATTCAGTTAACTTAGTCTACTAATGTGAAAGAATTAATAGTCGGTGTCCTTACTGAATAATGTCTACAACAATAATATTATTTACATGACTTGTGTAACTTTAAGAAAACCATTCCTGCTGACCTTGAAGCACAGTTAGCATCGCTGAGGGAAGGGGTATCATTACTCAGCAATAACAAACAACAGGTAATAGATACTGGCCATTATAATAATAATAATAATAATAGTAATAATAATAATAATAATAATAATAATAAATAAATAATATTAATAATGTGATATGATGAGGATGATGATATGATAATGATAATGTTATTGACAATAATAATTCAAACAGTGTGGTTCAATCTGAACGTCACTTTTGCTTGAAATTTCTAAACAATATAAACCATAATAGTGAAACCTGAATAACAGCTGTTTCGGATAACGCGCCCCACATTGTCAAAAATTTCTTTGGATTTTGGGTTTCACAGGACGCATGTTATCCAAAACAGCCGTAAGTGGATATGTACAAGACCATTGCCAGTGTCCACTATAGAAGTAGATGTATAACTAATGTGGTTTTGTTGTATAGCAATGTTGAAAAAAAAGTGGGTCCGCTTAATATGGTGTCCATAAAATGAGGCCTATATAAACATGCAAAACTCAAAATTTGATTTGTAAACCACATCTTTAGACTTAAGACTTACAAACATTAGCTTTTATCATTCGGTCATCTTAATTCATCTTTAATACCTGTTATTATTATTATTATTATTATTATTATTAAAATTTATTTCAACAATAACGATTTACCTAGTTTTTTTTTTAATGCTAAACCAGAATGAAAGGTAATTAATCTCATCGATACATACAGTATTAACACGTTTAACTGTACGCCGTTGTCTGATTTTTCAATTTAACAGTTAAACTGTAGCCACTATCTCATATTTTCATAAGGTTTTGAAAACACATTTTTTGTTAACGTGCAATTAACTTTGAATGTAAAGATACTGACGGTTAAAAACTTTGAAACTTTTGAGATTGAAAAAATGGGACAACAGCTTCAAAGCCTAAAGAAAGTCTCCGACATGCTGAGCTATCACAACCAAAAGGTACAGAGATGATGCTTTAAACGCTGTTAAAATTTAAAGCTGATAATACATAAGCTTAGCAAATCCTAGTGATAAACATTTCAAAGTAAATTGGAAGCGGACAGTTCCTTTGAGACGCATGACAGTTCAATAAGATAGCTGAGAGGACTGATAATGACCGTCGCAGTTGTAATCGCAATTGAAACAACTGAAAATTTAGCCCAAAAACAAATTCAGCGACTCGAAGGCATGGCATCTGTTTAAGCGTTTGCTCTACAAACTGAGTTATGAAGAATTGTGGAGTCGTGATTCAGATTTGTGTTTCTGTAGTGTACATCATCTTCATTCTAAGTGTCAAAAGTATTTTGTAAAAACAGATTTTCGGGTGTGTACGTTTAACCATTCCTGGTTTTGAACTCCCTGGTAAAGCGATGCGTGAGACAAAATGCTTCCAACATGTAATTTTAAGTTGCACAGAACACCTTAAAAAGCTTTGGAACCCAGTTGAACCTTGTGCAGGAAATGTGCTAATCACTAACTGCTAATCGCAAAGTTAAACTTAATCTAACAATCGTTAACTTGCTATAACCTGCTAAAGCCGGCTGTAACTGCTGAGTTTCCTTTGCTTTTTTTTTTTTTTAATTTAAAAGCCTCAGTTATGATTAACCATTAATCGTATAACGATCACTACCTTAATACTGCTTTTTCAAACAGGCTTATTTAATCTTAAACTTTTAATCTTTAACAGCCACGTTAAAGCTCTATTAAAACTAAGCTCACTTTCGGTCCTCTTGGCTTTGTCCATCTTAAGATTTCTACATAAAATAGATGATCGACCATCTCTAATCAAATTATATTTTATCTCCCTTGAGTACATGTATATATGCTGAGTTGATATTTTTCGGGTTTTAATATCTGTCCTGAATTCTTGTGACCAATCGGCGCTCTCAATACATCGTGCATCCATCACTGGCTCGATAGTTAGACTGAAATAATGTCTTGCAAGTAATAGTAACTTTAACATACCTAAAACACCGGTTCTAAACTACCATTCCTGCTGATTCGCACTAAATATGTCATGTTTTACTAAACTTTTAAGCTTCAAATGATTCCTGATGACTTGTTGGATCAACTTAATAAGCTTAAATATTTGGAAAAAACAACCAAGCAAATGAAAGAATTCAACGAGCAGGTGATTATGTAATGTATTTACAGCCTATTACTGTAGTTTGAATTAGCTTAAATGTAAACTGGAAAAGATAACATATTGTTTTTTATATTGAATAATCAGTCCATTCTAACGTATCATTTATTTATTTATTTTTTGTTTTATAACTTTTTTTTGCCAGAAAATATTTATAAAAATTTTCAAGTAGTATAATTTCAAGTTTGTCTAGTTTTTTTTCATCTCTTCCGATCTAACGCCAAATCGGAGGAACGATTAGTTTATTCTGCTTATAAGAAGACAGATCTTAAGTCATCGTGTTCGCTAGATAATGTAGCTGTTTAAACGACAGATGTATACGTAAAAAAAAACTATTTTGTAAATGAGTGATTAAATTTAGTTTTATTTGATTGAAACAAGGCATTTTAGGTAGGCAATTTTTTGTACCAAACATCAAGAAAAATTCTCGGTTTGCAATGAATATGTATAGTAAGGTGGTTCTGAAGGAAAAGTGAATGAAAACAAGAAGAAGCAAATATAAATAAACAGATAAAACATTTAAATTTTGGTCGACTCCAGCAATATCTTTCTTTGAGAACGATTTGAAGAATTGAAAGGAGTAAAGACACTAGTAAAATAAAAATTTAACCTAATAAAACTTTTCATTCAATAAAATTTAATTTTTAAGTTACCGTCGAAACTTCAGCGAGTCGAGGATCGAATAAAAGAAGACACAGAACGTGAGATCAGAACCTTAAGGGATGGTCTTCGTCTTCTTAATAACCAGCTAGATAAGGTTAGTATGTAAATAACCTAGGGGCAAGCTCTCCGGGCCGCTCTGGCGGCGGGGCGGGAAAAGGAAGGAGAGCTTGCAACTGCGTCTCTTTGGATCAGCTAAGGCATGAAGTTATTGGCATTATTAAAAGTATTTATTCATAGCAGTATTAGCTATTAGATCAGGTTGCCAGAGAAGTCGTTGAGAAGAAAAGAAGCGGAAGTTTATACAAACTATACACATTTCTTGTTGATTTGAATTAATTCTAAAAGTTAATTTATACCTACTCTAACATTTCTGTTAAAGTAAAATATTATTTCTATCAGCTCCTTTTAAAAACAGGGTGAACTGCCTCGTGTATTAAAAATTAAAACTATAAAATTAGTAAAACTAACAATATATACTATGTAACATTCACTGTTAAAGTACAAGAAGATGGCAGAAACTATTCCGAAATCACCGCCTTCAAATACAGGAAAAATAAAGGTAAAACCATGTCCCATGTAAGCATGTCATAAAGGATACCTTTACCCTTATCAAAGTAAACCTAATCGTTTAATCTTATCAATAAAATCACAAGTATTGAACTAAAACATAGCATACAAAGAGCACAAGGCTGCTTTAATTGCCAAGTCCAGCAAGTTTATGAAACTTTGAGGTCGGTTGGCGTTTACCAAAATATCTTCATTTTGTACATCCTTGGAAACCCATGGGCAGATAGTGGGGGAGAGGGACAGTGTAAACTGGTGGATTTCTTCGCGCCATTTTTTCCCGCCCGTTTACACTTTCCCTCGTGCGTCCCCACTATCATGCCCCAGGGTCTTCGAGGATGCTTTCTGTATTTTCGTATGCAGCTTTCTCCAAGGGTGCGTTCCTTTGGGATGATCCGGATCAGGATCAGTGATCAGAGATCACTCGGATCATGGTAGATCAAATGAACCGATGAATCCACTCTGGACAAGGATTCATCGGTTCATTTGATCTACCATGATCCAAATGATCTCGGATCACTTATCCTGATCTGGAACGCACCCCAAGATTTGCCTATCGAGCTGGAACTAAAGGTGCGTTCCATTGGGATGATCTGAGTCAGGACTAGTGATCCGAGATCACTCGGAGCACAGCACATCAAAGTAATTGACAAATCCACGCTGGGAAATGATTCATCGGTACCTTCGATGCTCCATGGTCCGAGTGATCTCTGATCACTGATCCTGGTCGGGATCTTTCCAAAGGAACGCATCGTTGCACTTAAAGTTAAAGCTCGTGATGCGGAGAATCTTTTCACTTGTATATTATATCCATTTCAAAAGAAAGGTGCCTATGCGAAGGCCACTTTTGGTTGTGAAATAGTTAATATTTGAAATAAGTAATAATAATAAGTATAATAATTTGCATTTGAAGAAAGATCTCTACAAACTATAAAAATAAGTAAATGAATTTAAAAACAACAAACAAACAAACAAGGGAGAAATAAAGGGAAACAAAACAAATAGGACAACATGTCTTAGTCTTGGATTGGGTAGCGAGAAGTTTGAGAAAGCGCTAGGTTTTCCTTTTATAAGTTCTCGACGAAAGACATCCTCAACAATTATGACTAAATGAATGATGCTGACATTGACTGAAATCGTTAAACAAATACATAAAGTAGACAGAGTTGCATTACACAACCTATTAATCGAACGTTACCGCTAACAAATGACGACAAAGGTATCCACAAGCCGAGCGTCAAATATAACATTGCCAATAAGGAACGGTTTTGATGATTTGTTGTCTTTTAGGACGTTGAAGCACTGAATGCACTAAGAAGCATGCTAACGGAACTTCAAGCAGAACAGGAGAGATTAAGCAATACCACCAAGGAACTGATAGAAGAACACAACAGGAAACAGAAACATATTGATGTGAGTTTATAGTTTACTTGTTTTTGGAGCATTTCATTGTTTCTAAAAAAATGTCTAAATACACTCACACTTGTATGAAACCAATTTTCTCTTGAACACGGCCAGATATGCAAGTTTTTGTCGTCGGAAAAATAAAGCAGGAGCTGTGTCACTAACTTTACCGAAATTCAAACGGTGGGGAATTGCCACCAATTGAGTTGAGTGAAACATAAGAATACCCGCCCACGGGTATAAATAACACCGCGAATACAAAAGTAGGCACTGATAGACAAACTTGAAGAAGATTAAAATGGATTTATTTATTTTGTGTTTATTTATTGTCATTTTGCCATTCAACTTAAATATATACATAAAATTTAAAAAAAGATGATGCAAGGCAGCCCAAGGAATCAAGGAAGCCGATAAGGCTTATAAATAGCACCACCTGTAATATATTATCTAATTAATAAATATAATACTGACATCGGCAAGACAATTTGGCTCTAAGAGCGCACAATTTCTTTAGAGCAAAGAAAATAATCATTAAAGAGGATAAAGATAAATAAGACTGAATGCGTAAGTGCAAAAACGAAAAAGAAAAGGTGGAAAAATAATGCAAGATACGAGATAAATACGAGAAAAAATATGATGAAAAATACGATGATACAAGAAAAAAAGCGAAAGAAGCGAAAAACTACACACAAGAGTGAAGAGAACTAAAGTGTGCTTATACCAAGAAAAATGACTTAAGTTTAGAATTGAACAAAGGATTGCAACTGTGGTTTTTGAAAACTTGTTAGCATAACTTGTCTTGCTCCCAAAACATATTTGTTAAGAAGCCGTAATTTTGTCATTGGCCAGTAGTTCCTTTGCTTTAGTTAAAAATGAACTAAGCAGCCGTGACGCAACCCCTTTAACGGTCTTTTTGACTTGTTAGTATGAAGGTTCTATGGTCACTTAATAATTCGTTTCGCTCAACAGGCCTTGTACACGTACGCTGACAAGCTACAGGAGGTTAAAGCTGATAAGGAGCAGGTTGCCATGGAAATGGACGTGGTAAGTGAAAACGTTTTCGTCCACTTCCATGTCATTGTGCGATTTGATGTGAAGTAAAGGGGGTATGTGTCCGATTTTTTAGGCAACTGATAATCGCTTTAAACTGTACACTATAACGTCATTTGCTTTTTTGTGCTTTCATAGAAAGCGGACAAGCGTGCGACAGACAATTTAGTAAGTCGAACCAAGTTTGATCAGAGTATAGGAGGATTGGACCAGTCGCTACAGGAACTGTTACAGAGGCTTGAAGGACAGGTATGTGCCGGACCACATTGCTAAGTTAACTTTACTCCCTTGCTAATCAAAGCGTTGCTTTTAAGGGCGTTAGACATCTTAGCTAACAAAAGTCCTGAAAAAAAAACGTTGCTTTTTTGGGCATTGTGTCGTTTCACAACAAGTTTTGAAAAAAGAGATCAGACAGTGTTTTAGTGTCAAACAAGGTAGTCTGCAATTATGTGCTGTTTTTGACTTTTATGACTTGTGTGCGTCTGCCGTCTTCAATTCTGATGACGTCTCATGACTACGAAGTACGTCTGTTCCCGTTTATTTTTCACGTTACGGCGTCATTTCGGTCGGTCTTGTTGGTGTACTGAAAACAATAAAACAGCGGCTTTATTGGTGTGCCAATCTAATCCTGGACTCTTTTCTGTAGTAAACACTTTCTTTTTGTTAAAGTAAATTAAGATTCATTATTATCGCTAGAGAAACGCTCTATAGCAACTCTCAGTTAAATTTTGCTTTTCCTTGTTTTTGCCACCAAACGAACTGGATTAATTTAGATGAATTGTTTGCATTCGCCAGGAATCAGCGCTGAAAGATGCTTTGGATCGACTGGCCGCTGATATTGATCAGAAGCTTGACAGATTAGAACTGGATCCACTCAAGGAATACTTCGGTAAATGAATACTGCACGACACCAAATGAAACTGATATCACTTGATATCAATTTGAATAACGCTAATTAGTAAAATCCAACTAGTGGTCTATTATCAATGCTACGTTCTGATTGGTTGAGGTACTACTACGCTATATGTTATAGCCCACTAGTAGCGAAAAGCGTGAGCTTTTTGGCGGCAAAGAAGGATTAAAGTCTAGCTTTAAGTAGCTAAAATTTTTTTATTCTCGATATTTTTGACCAACTAGTTGGATTTTACTAAAACAATTATTCCTGTCCCCCCCATGGCTTCTGAGTCAATAGCCCATGAGGCCGATTGACTCAGTGCCCATTCGGGCTCGAGGAATAATTGTTAAATATTACATATTTCTTGAGATCACTGCAGAAATTACAATTCAAGTCTCGTTTTGTTGGACACTATTTGGAGAAGAGCGAATCGCGAAATTACTGTTTCTTTTTTCAGTAAGTAGATAAACCAGACAATGTGCGTGGTGGCCCAAGTGTCGTGTTAATAATTTACCCCCTGAATTTTCATTTTAGAAAAGAAGATAAAGAGCATGAAATGTAAACATGTTGATTTGCCTTTGAATGATGATCCTGCTGCTGGTTTCCGCAAGTGAGTGAACTACAATTCTTTGCCTAGTGAAGTCACCATCTATGTCATAATGGTGAAACGTGATTGACATGGGATATTAAAACAGAGGAAGTTTTAATCGAGTATCTTCAAACTATGCAGATCTTATCCACTCGTTGTACCTTTGGCCCGCTGCAGTTCCCGCAGACCAGTAAATGAACTTATCTGATGTTGAAACAAACACGTGTAGACGCGGGTGCCAACCGCGGGAAAAACTATTGACCAATCCACAATTTGACTTATCAGAATTGGCAGACAATCAAATTAACCAATCAGATTTTGGAATAAATACATGTACTTGTGGGCATGGACGCCTATCGTGGTAAACTTGTTTGAGCGAGTCAGTATTGATGCTTTGACTGAAAACCACTTATGAACTCATGATTGGTTTAGAAAATGGGGCGAGATTTTTTAGCCAATCCCAAAGCGCGGCAGTGGAAGATAAAAGCAATCACCGGATTTCTGGAAAACCATTTTGAGACTGTTCAGTTTACAGTTCGCTTGAGTAGTTTTAAGTCGTTTCTTTCCTTTGTTGCTTGGTTCTGTTCACTTGTCAGCGTGTATAGTGAACTATTGTTTTCCATTGTTTTTCAGGGCATTGCTTCGGTTTCACTGTATTTCCTGTGATAGACCTGTCGATATGATCCCTGGCCAGTAAGTATTTAAAACGAACATCATAGAATGACGCTTGACTGACGCCTTGTACCTGGTCACTCGTCCCATCGAACAGACTAGTCAACTAGACATAGACTACTATGACTAGTCGGAATTTTTTAACGCTATTTGTTTGATTAGACTAGTCAACCAGCCATTTTCTGTATTTTAGCTAGTCCTAAATGGGGTGACTGTTTCAGTCCGAACATTTTTCTTTTGCGGACGAAATCCCATCGTGAGACCATTCGAATGACTTCAGTAGCCTGAGAAAATATCCGATATTTCGTCAGATTATCACTGGTTTCATCGTGAAATGATGCGTCAAGAACGAGCGCAGAAATTTCATACTGACTGAAATATCTTGGTCTGGAATTTCTGAGCTCATCTCTCAAACGTCGTTTAACGGGGAAACCAGTGGTGGCGTGGCGAAATATCGGGTGTTTTCTCATGCTACCTTTTCAGCAGTTTTTTTTTTTCGCATGGAGTTACCTTATGTGCCAGTATGTTACGGTCTGAAAATTCAAATTTTACTAAAGAGTCTTGCTTTATCTCAAGAGATTGAGCTTCGGGCATTCAAACTAAAGAAAAACTATAGGTCTTAGAGAGCATACTCAAGTGATTCATCACGTTCTACTGTCGAGAGGCTTCTCCAACGATAGTCGCTGCAATTAAACCTTACATTATTTTCTTCAATTCTTTCTTAGCTGTGTTTCATAAACCAGAAACTGACTAATCCTTTGTGTTTGTAGTCCCAACCCTGCTCTGCCCCAGAGTCCTGGTCTGCCACCGTCCCGGTCAGGTCGTCCGTACACCACTTATGAACTCGATCAAATCCGTCAAATACATCGAGGGTAAGGAGTCTTGTCGAGATCTACGTCTATTTTCTTGTTCAGTGGTGTGAAAGACTAAATCTTAAGGGTCGAGTTTACATTTTTTCCAATACATAGATTGCAAGAAAAAACTTTTTTCTTGAAAAGACATAGAGATGCGGGCAAAAACTACTGCGAAAAAATGATCGCAAATACTATGATACTGCAAACCGTAGTAACCAGTGAAAGTAATAATCGGCATAACCGATCATTTCACGACCTTCACTTTGGTTTGCTGCAGTTTGCAACCGCAAAACATCCCTGAACTGTTGTATCATTTATGGCCATTTTATAGAGGTCCAACTCTGTTTTACCATTTACAGATGAGTTGTTTGTCTTGTTTCTGATCTTTTAACAGTGGATACACATATGATCAAGAAGTTGCCACGACAACAGCCCGCGCATGCGGAGGAAGCCACACAGTGACGTTTCCCCACAGAAGGACGGCGAGATTCAAGTGAGTAGCCTCACAACACAGGGTAAAGATAAACACCTTTTTTATTTGGGGAAATCCCGTCATAGTCAGGGCAGACTCTGTTATCAATAGGAGCCCTGAACCTTAATTAACTTATAACTTGATCCCAAATCAGTCAGTCGGCGACAAAAATAATCCATTATGTATATTTTTCCCTTTGTATAGTCAATATTATTACTACAGAGAGGATGAATCACCAATTCCCATCCCTCCAAGGTAAGTAAAATTAACGATTGTTGTCCTCGTTTCGCTAGTCTTTTTCCACCCTTAGTTTCTTTGTTACTGAGAAGCCAAGAATTGTTTATGTTTTGTTCTCATAAGCTTTAAGCCTGTCACCCTCAGAGTAAATTATGGGGAAATGTAATTCAGTTTTAACTTTTGATTTTGTGGACTAAATCCTTTGACTATTCAAATAAATCGGGAACTATACATAGGCTCGCGGAGATATGAAATTTATCTTCGAGTGTTCAACTCGGTATCTCATGAGTACGCGCAGCGAACGGGTGAGATATCGAAAGTTAATACGTTAAGATAAATTTCATATCTTCAAGCTCCCATGTATTATTCTATTTATTATATAAAATTAGATCAATTATTTCAAAAGGTGAATATTCCAAAATTTGGATATCAGGACACATGTGTTCTGTTACAACAATTCTCAGTGGCCAAAATCCCTATAAAACACTGTAGTTTATATAATAAAACCTTTTTATCACTACTCACATCATACTATTTCTTCAGTATGTCGTACCGTGCTGTGATCGGTCGAATGTGGCAGATTCGTGGTGTTGTCTCGCCCCGTTCTTGATGATCGCTCCCCCTGTTTACCCCTCACACACATCCACAATCCCCCCTCCCACCTTATTCGCCTTTTTTCCCTGTAAAAGGGCTTGGGCCCAGGTATGTAGTTCTAACGTTTTAGTCTTTGGACTTAATTCTATGAATTGACCATCGAAATGAAACCTATCTGACAGGACTTTTCACGGCGGTAATTGTTTCTAGTATTTTACAACTGAATGAATTTGAGTCTTTTCTCAGTCTTAAGTGAGTCGTTGCTGGCCTTCAAACGTTAGTTCGATTACTCAAAGCTATCGCTTGAAACGTTTGGTTTTAAATCTCATGAGGGTGAGCAATTAACCTTCTCGAATCAGTTGATAAAACTAGTTAACCTATTACTTGCGTTTCCTGGCCACACAGCCGTTTATTTTTCATCATATGTTCAACTTTTCTAGTTCAAAGAAGAGTACAAAACGGGGCCATCTTTGCTAATATACCATCTGACCTAGGGCAACCTGTCTCCCTTTCAAAGCAAATTATGCTCTGGCATTTTGAATGGAAAAGTTAAAGCTCTGTATGGTGCATGGGTGAGCTTCCGTAGCAGGCGCCGGTATTTTTAGAGCGAAGGGATAAACTTGTTTACGCGCGCGCACGAGGGAAAAAAACTGGGGAGAGCAGTCATCTCCCCTTCGCGTATTCCACTCGAGCGCTCTTTTAAACTATTAAGTAATGGTCCAGTTAATAAGGAAAGAACCACTTGAACACGTTGGAATGCAAAAAGGTTCTAACTTTACTATTGTCTCGTCTGAGTCTAGGTAACACAGAAATCCTATGTGAGGAACGAGTAAAATTATAAACTTGTCTTGGCTATTGCTTTCAACTCTTATGATTTGTCGAAATCATTTAATACAAAAAAACACCCTTTAAAAAATTATGGATTTTATATACATTTAATTTCGTAAACTGCCTTTTTGAACATTTTCTCTATTCTCTGTTTGAAAATGAAAATGTTTCTATCTGAGGAAAGCGTTTTGCGCCACAACAAAAGAAACAGGCCACTTCCGAGTTCCAAAAACCCTCACTTTCAAAATGAGGACAAGTGCACAACCTTTCTTGTGAAAATGAGTTTGATGTGGTACAGAGGCCCGGGGGAACTCGCAAATGGCGTTTTTGCTTCCCGTCTTACCTGGATCGTTACTTAAAACGGCGCCTGCCTCGCCCGCTATGTATGAGGGGAGTATGCTACGTGAAATTGCCGAGCCTTGTATGGAAGATTCTTTAAACTATCCGGGAAAAAAATGGATAAACTGAGGTTGTGATCAAACAAAAACAAAAATGATTTCCCATCTAACTGTAGGATAAATAGCTATTTGATAAACCTTGTTTGACTGATTTGTTTGAAGGGACGAAACAGAGCTTATCGGACAGGATGGACAAATTTACAAAGGGCGCTTTGATGAAAGAATGCCTGACGTACCCCCGGTATGACTCCTCCTCCACTGCATAGAGAAGTGTTACGCACTTCTCATCATTCTTTATTTCATTTCAAGTATAACAAGTGTTAGATTTTTGTCTGCTTGTTTTACTTCTTCGTTTCCCTCGTTTGATCTTCTTCGGATCAAGTGATCAAAGTGAAATGGTGTTGCTTCTACTGAAAAGCACAGTGAAAACCATACAACTACTGGAGTCTTGCTGGGATTTTTGCTTAAAAGGGATCATATGTAACATTAAGTTAAATTCGCAACAATGCTGTTGTAACAATTACGTTGTACGGGTGTTCTAAAGGTTTCTGTACGATGTAATGAACTACGGACTGTTTCACTCACTTTCAGTGGTAGAAGTCCCCCTTAGGCTGTTTTAAAGCCGCGTCATTGAAGTCGGTGACAAGCGAAAGATACTTGTTAAGTCACGCCATAGATTTCGAGAGAAGCACGGGTCTTGTGATTGGTGCTGACTCATCAGCATGAGCTCCGAAGGTCAAAGACTTTTAGTTTCTCAAGTCTCGCTCAGTAAGGGAGAACTTATGGCTATTAAGCTCAGTAGACATTTTCCGGCTCAGAGAGTTGAGGACAACCCTAGCATATATTTGCTTTCAAAACCTCTCTCACTTTCAAGTAAGGATCAAGAATCAGTGATCTGACGGTAGTGTTATAACAGCCCATACCTTCCTCGAGTGTGTCCTTCCTCAGTGAAATGTGTGTCGAGGAAGACCTTATAATAAAGCTCACTATGCCAGGCTTGTATCGTAAGTTTTTTTATGTTCTCCTCGGCAGTACCCCAAATCTCCAAGAGTTATGTCAGCGAAGAGAGCAACTAGCCCCCAGCCTCCCCGCAATGGAAGCCCAACAAATCGTCGCCCAAGATCTGCTGCAGTCCCCTCGTCTCCTAGAAATCTCGAGGAGGAAGCTGAGCCCGCGAGTGTTGTTGTTCAGTGACAATGGTCTCACAGAAAATGATGCAGTGACTTTATTGCTCCTGTTCTTATTGCTGTTGTACCAGCAAACTCTTATTCGCGGATTCTTTGATTGTTCGTAGAAGTGTTGAATATTTGAAGTGAAGGGTAATTTATGATACTTATTTATGATAAAATAGTATAGTTAATATTTGCTTAATATATTAAAGTCGTTGAATCGAGAATTGAAAATTGAAATACTTCGTGGAAATGCTGTTTCTGAATTTGACTTCTTGACTTATTAGATGCTGGCCATTTCCTTTTTTTAAATCAGTTCACAAAATCCTATTAACAGTCTAACTGGTCTTTATGCACCGTTGTAAAATACATCACTTCATGTCGTAATGTTGCACTTGAAGGTTCAGCGTGTTACAATGTATAAGTTTTGAAGAAAAAAAGGTGATGTGTATTGAACGTTTTCCCTGCTGACGATTTTTTTCGTAGGTCGCTTTGATGAGTCCTCTAAGTTCCATTGAAAAAAAAGGTTGTAAGTTCAGAAAACAAAGGACTTTTACGAATTTGCTTTACCAGTGATTGACTTTACATGCCTTCCCATAGTTTCAAAAATACACGTTAATGAACCGTGGACGAAACCGCGAAGGACGGTAGGGTTTATAATGCAAACGTTGGGTGATCACTTGTTGAAAATGGGCGTTGGAGATGTTACATTGTAATTTTATGTGAATATAATATTTATCAGGTCGATTGGCACATGCCCATTGATTGACCAGTTGTCAGAACTAACTCTGTACTGTAAAGTTTATTATAAGTTATGATAATAAAAATAAAGAGATAGAGAGAAAGAAAGAAATGTCAATGATTTTTTAAATTTATTTAATGAGTGTTTCACTCGGGATTGATATAATTTGATGAACTGCAACTAATGCAAGCGACTTTAAAAAAAGATTGGATTGAAGGCAATTTTTTTCACAGTCAACTTCGTTCCCAGGTTCTCTATCACCCTTCCAGGGCAGGGGAAGCTGAAAACTAGGCTGTACCTCACTCTCTCCTAGTCTCCCTCGGAGCCGTTGCGATACGAGACAAAAACGGCTGCCCGGGAGACTAACTTTCTCCCGGATAATTATTGACAATTATTTAAGACCACGCCCATCGTCATCTACGATCTGTCGTCCGTTGGTCAAAGATAAAGAGCCTAGATGAAGAGCAAACGACAACAGGATGCAATGAGACAGGCTAAAATAAAATTTTAGAAACGTTTATTTTATTGACTGGTTACAGTAAAAGGAAAAAAAGACAATATTTAACAATTTTCATTCGAAGAGAATCATTGTAAACTAAGTTTTTTTATAAAAGAGAGGATGTTATGTTTTTGTTGTTTTTTTTTTTTTTAGTTAGAGTTAGTGAAGAAACTTGATGGGAACCTTGAGCATTGGAAAGGGCTGATCTGCTCCTCCGTAACATTTCATTCCCCTTCATTCTCAAATAAATCTCGGCCGGGAACTTAGTGATAAATGTTTGAGAGTCCAGCTCAACTAGTCAACCTAAGTTTAAACGGACTGGCCTGTGACCTGTTGTAGAGCCTGTCAGTTCTGTCAGTACAGTCAATAAAGTATTAAAAGTTACCTTAACATTCTGCGCCTTGCAGGATATACATCTTTTGTGCCTGAAAATCGGACACTTAAACACGGTTATCAGGTGTTGTGGCTATCGCAATGGGATCTTGAAACTTAGTAACAGTTTTACGTACAAAATAACCTTCCGTTGAAAACTTGGCAATGCGACCATTGCCACTATCACAAACAAGGATGTTTTTGTGATCACCATTGTTTTCGATTTCTCTTGGGACGACTGTAATACCCTGGGGAATTTGGAAACATTGGTTATGCAAAATTCTGAGGGGGAAAACAAGGTGCGTCATGGTCTATATGAAAGTAGTGATTACAAGAGATGTAAAGCGTGCGTAAATTAAGCTATTTGACGGACAACCTAGTCCCAAGGTCTCCCAGGAGTTGTGCGGGGTTGCGTAAATGAAGACTACGCGACGGGCCAACGCGACGCGCTCAGGAGGGTCTACTGAAATTCCCTGACGAGAGACAACCTCTGAAGCGCAAGGAAAATTGACGAAAATTACTTCCTCTTGGCACTCAGACTGGTGATAAATTAGCCAAACCACCGTTCTTTGTCGCATATTCTCGGCTTTGCCGTCACTGTCGCAATTTGGCAGCGGGAGGTTGTCGCTTGTCGCCATTTCGTTTTAGGCTCTGTCGCTACTTTTTGGGTCATGTCGCTTGTCGGAATTTACCCTGGCAGGGCCTCTTCTTTCATTAACTCAACTTCCGCCATGATGTTAGCTTTCTCGCTACTGGCTGCCTTGTCAAGCGCATTTATAGTATGATTCTCGTGACCTGTACCAATGCATAACTGACAAACACAAGTCTGGCATGGTCAAAGATAAAGAGCCTAGATGAAGAGCAAACGACAACAGGATGCAATGAGACAGGCTAAAATAAAATTTTAGAAACGTTTATTTTATTGACTGGTTACAGTAAAAGGAAAAAAAGACAATATTTAACAATTTTCATTCGAAGAGAATCATTGTAAACTAAGTTTTTTTATAAAAGAGAGGATGTTATGTTTTTGTTGTTGTTTTTTTTTTAGTTAGAGTTAGTGAAGAAACTTGATGGGAACCTTGAGCATTGGAAAGGGCTGATCTGCTCCTCCGTAACATTTCATTCCCCTTCATTCTCAAATAAATCTCGACCGGGAACTTAGTGATAAATGTTTGAGAGTCCAGCTCAACTAGTCAACCTAAGTTTAAACGGACTGGCCTGTGACCTGTTGTAGAGCCTGTCAGTTCTGTCAGTACAGTCAATAAAGTATTAAAAGTTACCTTAACATTCTGCGCCTTGCAGGATATACATCTTTTGTGCCTGAAAATCGGACACTAAAACACGGTTATCAGGTGTTGTGGCTATCGCAATGGGATCTTGAAACTTAGTAACAGTTTTACGTACAAAATAACCTTCCGTTGAAAACTTGGCAATGCGACCATTGCCACTATCACAAACAAGGATGTTTTTGTGATCACCGCATTTCTCAATGCACAGACCTTGAGGACGAAGTAATTGCCCATCATCTTTTCCTTTTACTCCAATCTTGTAGAGAAGAATCCCTGAACAGTTAAAGATTTTCAAACAGTCGTTGTACATATCGGATACTATGAACATGTTTTGGTGGAAAATACAACCGGTTGGATGGTCAAGGCTTGTTGAACCAAAGCTAAATACTGGAGCACCATCCTTTGTGAACACCTGGATTTTGTTTTCGACGCAGTCTGCTACAGCAACGCGTCCCTGTCTATCGATACAAAGGTTCACTGGACTCTGAAGGTTGTCTTTTCCAAAGGTCTTCACAAATTTTCCTGTTTGTACATTAAACTGCTGAATGCGGTGATTCGGGAAATCTGCCACTAAAAGTTCATCGTAATTGAGATACGCCAGACCCGTTGGATAGTTTAGCTCCCCTGGCTCCTTCCCTTTTCCGCTCATCTTTCGACGAAAATTTCCATCGTTATCAAATACCAGAATACAGTGCCTTTTACAGTCAGATACAGCGATCAAACCATTTTCGTTGACGGCGATTCCATGCGGAACTGGATTCCCATCGCGTTCTTGTAGATCCAACTCACTCACTTCTTCAACCTCTCGTTCCTTCACTCGGATAGTGAAACAGTTCTCGTGATAATTGTGTCTACTTTTTAAAGTCACTTTAATGTTGTATGCACTAGCTTCTTTAGACGTGAACTTCACCAAGAAATTTCCATCATCTTGCTGGCAAGTTGTCGTACTTTGTACCTTGTCACTAGGCTCCACAGCGACCTTTGCACGGATATTTTTTTTTTGCACCTCACCCTTTAATTTTGGGCATAAGATCAATTTTGCCTCTACACCTGCTTAGAAATCTTGACTTATCCCCTGAACGGTTGCGCCAATAGTTGTCGTAAAACCGAGGGTAAATTTCCCTGGGTCACAAGTTTTGACAAACTTAACGGAGGAACAAACCGGAAGTGAAGGAACAGGGGTTTGGTTAAGATATTCAAACCGATGTTTGAGGATCTTGTAGCTTTGCACAATACTTGAGCTTGAGCTTCTTTGAATCAAGTTATTGGCAAATTCGACAGCTTGATCGACTTGTTTAAGCAGGGACTTCACTTGTACCTTTGCGGAGTTTAATTCCTCCATTCTTGACGCACGAGTGTTCTCAAGTGCGGAAATAATCTCGCGTTCTTGTCGTTGAATTCTCGCGATCATTTGCTCTGCTGTTTGGGAGACTTCACGTTTGGCATTTATAATCTCAGTTTTCAGACTAAGAGCTGTCTGCTCAAAGTGACGAATTATGTCACTACAAAATTTGCTTTTTTCTTTGAGGCCCTGCCAGGGGGGGCTCCCATGTCGCTCGTCTGAATTTTAAAACGTCTCGTGTCGGTGTTTATTAATGCTTCACGTCGCTGTCGGAAATTGAACGAAAGTTCTTTGTCTTTGTCGGAATTTTAGAAAAGGGGGATAGCGATGGGTTTTAAAGAAACCATTACAGTTGAGCAATTTCTCAGTTAACCTTTCGCGTATAGAACACCTATACATCACCATTCACAATTAAGGGTGTGTTCCTTTCGTTGAATCCAGAAACGGATTTGGATCTTAAACGGATTTCACGTTCCTTTCGGCAAATCCAAATTCGGATTTTTGATCTGGTGAATCCTTTTTGAAAAAGGATTCACATTGGATTTGAAATCCGAAGAATCCGAATCCAGATTAACGGATTAGTCATCTACGCTGTTCCATTCACAGTGGATTCGAAATTAGTCAGATGATCCAGCTGTACTTCCAGTTGAAGTATTCCCGTAGAGTTTCCTAATTGCTGCCATTTGCCAAAACATCTGAAAACACTAGAAGATTGTTCATGGTGGTACAGTAAAACGTCCATGTGCTGACCATTTGTCGCTTAAGATTGCTTAAAAACACAAATAAGTAAAAGGGACAAATAACTGCTATCTTTCTACAAACTCGCTCTTGGACGCGATAGGCACTCGATCGTGTTACATAGAAAACCGAGCTACGAAACTGGATCAAACTGAGCCGACAACCTTTAGATTATTTTCAACTTTAACACGCTACTTTCTTGATCTGTTTATGTTCCATCGTCGTTATTCGAACTGCCGACCACAAAATTCTGCACTGTATAATCACATAATTTGTCAAACAGTAGAAAACATGTCATTTCTTGGGAGGCTCAGGCTGTCATGCATATTGCACGCGTTTGCGAAAGGTTACCAAGGTCACAAATCCAATTTCGGATTTCACGTTCCTTTCGACCGCGAAATCCGGCAAATCTCGGATCAGAAATCCGTTTTTGGATTCGCTTAAAGGAACACTGTCAGCACACCCTAAGTGATCCACGTTCAACATTTTAAGACTAACTGACCTGATAAACCGTACGTGAAGGCCGGTTAACGGTGGTCTACGCTGTGCGGTGCTTAAGTTTCCACCGTTGTCACCGTCCGACAGAGGTCGACAAGGATATGAGAAGTTCAGAAACAAGCAAAGTATTCACCATTTTCACATAGACCATAATTCACCTTGTTTACCTCCCAAAACTTTGCATAACCATTGTTTTCGATTTCTCTTGGGACGACTGTAATACCCTGGAGAATTTGGAAACATTGGTTATGCAAAATTCTGAGGGGGAAAACAAGGTGCGTCATGGTCTATATGAAAGTAGTGATTACAAGAGATGTAAAGCGTGCGTAAATTAAGCTATTTGACGGACAACCTAGTCCCAAGGTCTCCCAGGAGTTGTGCGGGGTTGCGTAAATGAAGACTACGCGACGGGCCAACGCGACGCGCTCAGGAGGGTCTACTGAAATTCCCTGACGAGAGACAACCTCTGAAGCGCAAGGAAAATTGACGAAAATTACTTCCTCTTGGCACTCAGACTGGTGATAAATTAGCCAAACCACCGTTCTTTGTCGCATATTCTCGGCTTTGCCGTCACTGTCGCAATTTGGCAGCGGGAGGTTGTCGCTTGTCGCCATTTCGTTTTAGGCTCTGTCGCTACTTTTTGGGTCATGTCGCTTGTCGGAATTTACCCTGGCAGGGCCTCTTCTTTCATTAACTCAACTTCCGCCATGATGTTAGCTTTCTCGCTACTGGCTGCCTTGTCAAGCGCATTTATAGTATGATTCTCGTGACCTGTACCAATGCATAACTGACAAACACAAGTCTGGCATTCATCGCAAAAAAACCTTGTTATCTCTTGTTCGTGGCAATCCTGAGAACAGAAGGAGGGCCGCTTTAACAGAGAGTCGTAGTCTTCCCTTTTGAACTGCTTCACCAATTTAAGTTTGTGTTCTTTAAAAGCCACCTTTCGTAGAATTTCGTGCGCATTTACACAATCAGGGCAGAGAAATTTTCCACAGTTAAAACAGAAACTTGCCTCTGTGCTTTTAATGGCACAGTTAGCACAAGTAATATCATCACTTCCCTCACAGCACTGTTGTGCAGCAAGAAGATCGAGCCAATCATTCTGTAGAAAGCCTGTAGGCAGTTTATCGAAACCATTGTTTTTAGGGACAACGATTCTTGCCTGACACTCGGGGCACCGAAATTGTCCATGTTGCTGGCTTCTTTGAGCGTGTTCCTTTAAACAGTCGCAGCAGAATGTGTGCAAGCAGGCTATCGTCTTGGGTTCGTCAAGGGTATTTAAACAAATTGAACATGTAACATGCTTTCTGAGGTTTTCTAAAAGGAACTCCATTGCAAACGAGTAACCGAATCGTAATCTTTTCTTAGAATCAACCTGATCGTATCAATTCTCAGAAGAAATTTGCATATAATAAGTGTGTGGCCAATTAGATCGTTTTTAACGTACCCTGTGACCGTACTGCGTCTAGCGTGCGTGACAAGTTGTAATAGTCAGGTCTCTTAGTGCAAAATATAGGCCGGATCGTTACAGACGTGACAAAAGTGTCAAATTTGGCACAGAGCTTCCTTAGCACCTGCCGATTAATACTGGAGGGGGTGCCCGTTACAAATGGTCCTAATTACAGATAAACGGGGGGGTTAACTTTCACCTATAATAGCAGGTTGGGTGCCCTGTGGTGAGTACTCTTCTTGTTTGATTTGGCTAAAAAACATATGTTTCAAATTTTTAAGTTTTTAATTTGGTAATGTTAACTTGTTGTTACACTATTCAAATTAGTTTTACATGTACACAATACTGACTAGTGCCCAGTTGCCACACGGTAAGTGTGGTCAATCATGTTCACTGTACGGCTATCAGTGTCTCTGCTAAGACTTGCCAGTGATAATATAATTACATATCAATTTAAACGGATCACAAAGCCAGCTTTCAAAGATGTTATACAATAACAAAAAACCGCAATGTATCACATCCTAGACGATAGAATCGTTAAATTTTGACATGCCACACGACCGACCTCATGAACCGTAACTGACAACGCGCCCACGTTGTAATTGTGCAGCTAAGATTAGATTATAATTTGCTTCGTTGGTAATCCTGTCCTTGAGATAATGATTAAAACATGTCAACCTCGTCCTCAGGGGGAAAAGGAGGAGCAAGGGTGGCACAGTTGGTTAGTACTTAGCCTTCAGTGCGCGAGATCCCGAGTTCGATCCCCGGTGTCAACACATCCATATTTCAACTTCTCTCTTTTCTGTGTAGCTTTGACTAGCTTTAAATACCCTTAAAAAGGAGCATTAATGAGAGAGGGGGTAAAAGGAGCGCACCGTCGACCTCAAGTTTATCAGTTATTATTACTGTCACGAGTTATTGACGTACAATATGGTCGCTTTACCTTTTTCTACCTTTTTATTAAGCCCTGGGGGCGAGGTTGTAAAACATGCCTCTCCAGGAATTTTTAACACTCTTTATTTTTTACACATTTGCATTTAAAAAGAAGTGTATGAGGTCCCTGCATGCCTAGACACCTGTAAGGAGCTCATTTACTATAGAGTCCTCGCACCAGAGTGTTAATGGTAGGTCTATACGATCTTTCAAAAAAAAGGGAAGGTCGTCGCTTGCGTTACAGTTTACAAACAAACTAAATTCAGAAGAGCTGAAAGTTACAGGAACAAGGCCTCTTTTAGCCAACCAATGATGTATCATTTATGAAAATGAATGTAATTTGTTTGATGCAGTTAGGCGAATACCCCGTGGTTACGAAATCTTACGATCATGAATTCCTCAAGAGCAATTCAGTTACCTACCGGTACTTTTCACAAAATAATGCTATGTAAAATTACAGAAAATACCAAAAAAAGCAAGGGTCAACAATAATTATGGCCTGGTGCCTTATAATAATGGAGTGGTCATGATAAAGAAGCCCATCAGCCCCAACTTTGACCACTCAAACAGATTTCTGACAGATTACATACCGCAAAACTTTACATTCACTTATGACTATGTTGCCACACTAGGAGCCTCGAAATCGGCTCCTGGTCACATCTTATTTTTATTGCTGAATATCATTCTAAAGAGCTTTACGAAATGTTTTGTTAGTAGGGGTGTTTTGAATATGATTGAAATTTAGAGATGGTGACAAAAACGAACACAAAAAAAGTTACAAAACGAGACGCATGAAACAACCGCAATCTAATATTGTGTTACACCGATTTAATGGCTCCTTTGGCTGCTATGCTGACGTTTTTGAAGATGGAAGTAGTATCACAGCTAGTCCCGGGTTAGGTATACTGTTTATTACCAGTTTCACAGTTTTTGAGACTTAAAGCCTGTTCACATAAAGGTTGGGGACCCCGGGTAGGTGAGGTAACCTGCTTAGGTGGAGTAAAAAAAATAACCCTCCTTTACATGCAATCTTACAACCCCGCCATCCTGGGGTGCACTTTCTCAAGATTATTGAATGGTCGCTAAGCACGTAAACAAGAAAAATGCTAGCAAACCACGTCTACGCTCACTTGCTGCTCTTGCTGCAATCTTCAGCGTTGTGGCTTTCTATCGTTACCTTTAATAACTATGTGAAGCCAGCCGGCGCCAAAGTGAATTTTGCGTGAATTTGATGTATCACGAATCCGACCCCGACTAGCCTGGGTTACCTCACCTTGAAACGTTGACATGGTAAAATTTGACCTCAGCTGAGAGGGTTACCCGGTGTGGCAGACTGGGCTAACCACCTTGAAGGGTCACCCCACCTTTCATGTAAACGTGATCAAATTAAAATGAGAGATTATATGGACATGCAGGTTAATACCCCACCTAAGTTAGTTACCATGACTACCTGGGGTCCTCCTCCTCCATGTAAACTTAACTTAAGTTAACTTAACTTAACTTACTTTATTAATACCTATCACACACTGGAAGAAAAAATACACAAGAACAGCCAAATCCGGGGGCTTAAATGGCCTAAGGTCAGCAAAAAAAAAAAAGACGTGAGGAATTTACAGGAATAGAAGAAGGCTTTAACTAAAATAATGACAATACAATTAAATCAAGAATGAAAAGGTCAGTCAGAAAAAAACTTACAACTGAAATACAAGGCACTAAAGTTAGTCCGGCCCCCTTTCTACAGTTTCAGCAGTTAAACCATTTATCATTTGAGTCAATCTTGTACCACATGAGTCTCACTTTTAAGACTTGATAAGCTGTTAATATTTTTGGACATGAGTGCTTCGGTGCCAAATGTAGAGGCTTCATGATGAACCGTGCTGTTTTTTGAAGCTTGGGCTCACTTGTTTCTTTTTTTCGTTTATCAGACCAGATTTTTTGTTGTTAGTTTTTGCTTTGTAAAGCTTAGACAAACTGTGGGAATTGTAAATGATATGTACTTGTGCCACGATGCTTTCTTCTCTGTCAAAACATGCACGTACGTCCAGCAGATAAAGAGAGACTGAAAGGCATCCAGGCCTATGTTTAGCTGAAAAATTAATTACCTCCTTAGGAAAGGGCTATTCTGGGTTCTGTCATTTCGTTATTTGCTCTTGATGAACAGCTGTCATAAATCCCTGATAATATGTGGTACAACAGACTCTTTGACAATTTCTTTTTTTCCTGAAATTTTGTGTGTGAATCGCTATGCCATACGCTTTCTTTAGCTTTAAGTGACATGTAATGCCAAGTAATACTTGATAAATAAGGCTTAAGCCACACAATAAGGCCTCCTCTAATTGAAATACATTAGAAAAGGAGAAGAGAACCCCAGAAGCTGAGTACTTGCAAGTTATGAAGCAAAGACGAGGCCATCTTAGAAATGACTTATGAAAATGTGGGCGGACTGTGGACTTGCTGTAAGGGCACAGTAATAATCAATTTAATTATACAATCAATAAGCTAATAATGGATGGGAATGTCAGATGTTCAAGTGAAATTGTTGTTTACAACATGAGAAGAGTATTCTGAGTGATTTAAGGTATTAAATAAAAATTTTCAATCAAAACACCACAGGGACCCCAGCAGGTGAAATTTACAATAATTAAATCCTGTTTAGCACGCTTCAGTGGCATATTTGCATTGGGCACCCCCTCTAATATTCATGGTACTGCAATACGCTATCGCCGTGCAAAGTTTGGTGCTTTTGTCAACTCTGTAACGATCCTGACCTTAAGAGACCTGACTATAACGAACGGAAATCTCTCGCGCTTTATCTGAAGGGTCCAACAGTTAGCCGTAAAACAGTTTTCATACGGAGATTGACACCGCTTTTTTTTATAAACATGAAACGTAAAACGCAAACTGCGCGCCATATGAAATCCGACGAAGGACTTTTTTGAAAGTCTAACCGAGAAAAAACGTCACTCGTTATTTTTCGGAGGAAGACAAGCGACGACCGGAAATACGTCTGCTGTTCGCAGGCTAGTCTCAATATACATTTGTGAGCTGTGAACTGTGAGCTTAAAATTTTGAGATATACAGCTATTTCTAGAAAGGTTGTCGGAAAAACTGTGCACGCGTCAATCCCGAAAGGTAATATGGGATATGATCAATACCAGGAGCCCATCAAATGGAGCCTCCATCTCCATTAATTTCTTGAGTCAACCCTTTCCCGAGTAGATTTATAAATAGAACGGCTTGTTTCCCGCGAAAAGTGTCATATTTCCGTGAGTCTCGTATGTCACCGTGAAAAAAATGAAGTTGGATGAAGTCGAACTCAGAAGCCCGCCCTTCGACCGTTTTCCTTTTTTACTATACGTCCATTTTTATAATTTTACAGCCGCTGGGATCTGGGTATCATGCAATAACAGTTAATGAATTACCCGACTGAGGCTGAGCGTGAAGCGATGGGACAAAGGCAAAGGTTATCTTTGCGAGTGTCTTTTTTTTTTTTGCCGTTTTACATCCCACATTTAAGCATGCACCTTGAAAAGAGTCGATGTTTAGCGTTCTGTGGACGATTTGGAACTTTTCGATGATCAGCGCCGAAAAAGTGCCAGGATCATTTGATTTTTGTCATCACCGTGGAGTGGATTTCGCCAGTTAAGCACCGCATGCAAAAGCAATGACCTAAGTAGCAACTAACGAGGAATGCTTCAGTTCCGAAATTTGAGAAATTGCAGTCTTCCTTTACAACTGACTTGTATCACCATGAGAGTTGCCTGATAAAACTGGCACTTGAAGAGTTGAACAGAAGACAACAGTAGCTCGACCGTGAATAATTTGCTAACGAAGGAATTTGTGACATCGCGCTCCTCAGTCCAAAGACCCACTTATCTCAAGAAAAACAAAATGGATTGTATCTGCGCCAAAAGAATGATGACTGACTAACAGGAAAACTCTCAGCAGTT